CTGCCTATGCCATACTCAGTCTCGATGGCACATGGACAACTGCACGAGCCACAGGTTGAGTGGTAACCAGGAATGGAAGAAAGGACATGCAAGGCCACACTTGTTTGAAAACTAACCAAAATGCTCATCAAAACAGACACAAAGGGCCAAGATGCAGAATGAAAGACAATCTAAGCTGCAAATGTGGTCAAACACCAGCGGGGAAAACCACACGAGACCCCCAGGGGAGAAAGGTACTGACGACCTTCCACAGGGAAGGATGCTGGCCTTCCCAATCCTCTCCTGCCCTGCCCGAAATCCTAACGCCAGGCTCCCAGCCGGACCACCTTTTTCTAGCCATGGCCATGCTATTTAAAGTTATTTTTATAACTAAAAACACTGATACATATTACCGAACAGAGAGCAAAATGCACACACTGGGAAAGTGAAACCTGAGACTTCAAAGGCATGGTTTACCCAGGGGGCCATGTGAGGCCAGCCCGCTGCTCCTGGGAACAGGCTTCCTCTCTCTCCTCTACCACCGGGAGGGAGCTTGGGAAGCACCGACCTCGGAAAGCCTAGTCTAAGCGTTCATGGAAACATCAGGACTAACACTAAGAGCTGTGGATCTAAAACGTGTGTGCTAAAGCGCGGTGCGTCCGCAGATGTAGCATCTGGAAAATCTTCTAAACAACGCCGTGGTCCTGATGTTCCCAGCTCTCTGGTAACTTGGACGAGCTGAAATGTGCTTTCTACAAACGAAGTTTAGCTTCAATTTCAGTAAGCACTTTCATTCATTAAAATCACCAGAAGCCTGTTTGAGGTGGATCTCGCAGTCACACTGTTTATTTTCTGGTGTTTTTATTATGGTCCCAATACTGCCACCAGGTGGCCAAAAAGCTCACCTGCCAAAAAGAGTTTGGGTCAGGTTGGCTACGTGTTCCCCCAAAGGGGCTGCAGTCCTCGGGTCACAACGGTGGGCCCTGGGGCCCAAGGCTAAGGGTGAGCTGGGGACGCACGTGCTGTGGATGCGAAGTGTAAAAAGGAGGGGTGTCGGGGATGCCAGAGCGGAACAGCACCCTCCCGGTGGCCTCTGATTGGAGGAACTAACTGCACAGCAGCACAGCGCCTGCGATGCGGGAAACCTTACTGTTATTAGATGCGCTTATCATCATTACTCCAAGATGAAGACACGTGGTGGGTGCCGGTGGAAACAATCAAAAGACAACCCGAAGCCCTACTTTTGAAGGGAACTGTGATGTCTGAAGGTAGAGCTGAGAGGTCAGGTGAAACCCTAAAGGCGGACGCCCTCTCTCAGGACAGAAGTTTCACTTAAGAGAGAGGCCGTGGAATGTAAGGAAATGTAAGGACGTGGGGGGAAGCCAGCTCAGCCCTGAAGTCTGAGCTCACATCTTGTTATACATCAGGCGTTCCTACAGGAGAAGGGACCCAGTTAGTGTGACACACGTGGAAAGGCTTCGATTATGATTCAGAGGCTCCANGCCATGGCCCAGAGAACCAAGAGAATTAAAGGTGGCCGTGAAGGCGGGCGTAACGGGCCACGTATGCGATGGCTCACGCAGCCTGCCTGGCGCTTCACGGTGCCCATGAACTCAGCCTGCAGCGTGCTCTTCCACAGACGACAGCAGGTGCTTTGGAAAAGCGCATTCCAAAGGCGTATTGTACAGAGCTTTCAAATGTTGACTTGAGATTCAATTTCTTTGGTGGGAAACAAAACCAAACCAAAACAACAAATGATGTACTCCTTAAGTCCCTTACACCTCTCTGTACTTGATGATTATCCATAGCCCATAGGGTGCAGCTTTGAAAGAAGTCCAGTTTACCTACTGCTGCATAACAAGTCACCCCAAAACGTAGTGGCTTAAAACAACATAAACACTGGTCATCTCTCACAGTTTGAGGGTCAAGAATTTGGGAGCGCTTTGGGTGATTCTGGCTTAGGGCTTCCTATGAGGTCAGCCAGGCCGCAGCCCTCTGGAGCTGAAGGACCCGCCTACAGGGCTGCAAGCCGTGCTGGTTGTTGGTGGGAGGCCTCAGTTCCTTCCCACCAGGGCTCTTCCCCGGGGCTGCCGGGGTGTCCTCACAGCACTGTGCTGGCTTCCCCCAGAACCAGCTCGCCCAGGAGAACCAGGCAGAAGCTGCACCGCCGGCCGCCAGCGTCAGAAGTCCCTTCGGGGATATCCTGTTAGTCACACAGGTCAGGCCTGTTTGCTGTTGGAATCCAAGGACATGAACACGAGGAGGGTCCCTGGGGGCTACCCTGGAGCCTGTCAGAGCTGCTAATACTACAGGTTATCATCGCTCACTCTGTGGGCCTCCAACTTTATTTCATTCTGTATTCGTGAAGATACAGGAGAGCCCCCGGGGCTGAATTCAGGGTGAGAGGCCTGACATACACATCCCAGATTATTTAACGGGCTGCCTAAGACGTGGCTGCTCCAGGGATGGCAGGGAGTTCAAAGAAACAGGATGGCGTGGAAAAGGCTGTGAACTGGAAGTCTAAGGGCCCAGCTCTAGTCTCAGCCCCACCTGTAAGTGGTCACTTCAGGTCTGACTCTTGGTCCCCTCCCTCATAACACACCGTGCTTGCCTGTCCTTGGGTTTGTTGTGAGGACAGAAAATGAGTGGGATATTGAATAAGAATGTGTTTGTCCTAGGCCTCTCTACTAAACACACACACACATCATTGCAATGGTGTGCTTGAGCTAGCTCATAAATTTTTTTCCAAAAATTTTGCAAGCCATTTGTTAAAATGTAGCTGTTATTAAAAATTAAATCATATAAACTTACAATTAAATTATACTAACAACAAAAGTAGTACTCAAAACTCATCATTTCCTAATGACTGTAGTGCATCTCACCCTCCTGTGTGCATCTGAGGTTATGCGCTTCTGCTGTAGCTGTGTGGCTGAAACAGGACGTAACAGTATGTTTGCTATTCACATCTCTTCCCAACTGTGTTCAGATGTCACGTGAGCGGCTTGCAAGTGGCCACACCGCGAGTGTCTGCCCCGTGGAGGTGTACAAATGCTGCAAGTCAGGGCCAGACACACCACTGCTCATGAGGTTACTGAGGAAAAGGTGAAGTCTTACGCAAAGAAAGCAGAGATCTGTGATATTTCTGACTATCCAGAAGCCACACACTTCCACTTCAGTGCCACATGTTGCATTTTACGTAAATCTTGGCAAGAGGACAGGTCCCAGTGACTGCCTTTCATTGCCACTTCCCATAATGGAAACCAAGGGGGTGAGCACATCTGTCACACTCTCCCGATTCAGCACACGGAGGAGGGTAAGGGGAGCATGCCAGAAGCACAGCCACATCCGTGGTCCCAGTGCTCTGAGGCCTGGGATGGACCGAGCAGGAGGAAATGTTCAGAGGTCAGATGCATCCTGGTGGCAGAGGAGCTCCGAGAGCTGGGCCAGGCTGGCGGTGACCGGGCAGGCGAGGTGCTCACTGACTGCCTCTAGGTCATCCCTGACTCCTGCCCTTCTCCATTCTGGGAGCTCCCCCTGGTCTCCAGTAAGTCTCCTTGCTGCAGCAGGCCCAGCGGTGAGTGGCAGCTTGCACATGGGCACAGCAATACAGAAAGCACTGCCTGCATGCTCTGCACACGTGACACACCCACAGTCACCAGGGTGCTTGGTAGGAAAGGCATATGCCACTTGGCACATTGCCATCTGGATATCCAAGCCATCAAAGGATGGAAATTGAAGCACAGAGAGGTTATGTGACCTGATCAAGGCCACACAGCTAGCAAGAGGCAGAACTGGGATGTGAACCCAGGAAGTACGGCCCCAGAGCCTGTACTCTCAACCCCCATGATATAATGCCTCACGGGCTCTTGTGCATGACCATCAAATTGATGGCCATCTTTTTTCCCTCTGAGTGCCAAATCTGAGAAAAAAAAATTTTCAGAGACACATACCTTCTGCTTACATACATCTCAGGTCCTTCCTTTGAAATCTTGAAGGTTCAAATGAGCCAGTGTTTGCCTGGAGAATGCTGGGGAAAGAGGCCGAGAGATGAAGGCTTTGTTGCCAAGCTCAAAGCCATTTCAGCCTTCCTAACCATAACTACTTATATTATCCATTTATCAGAGCAGCTTAAATGGATTTATAAATATTAACTAATAAATCCTCATATTCACTCTCAATAGAATTTGTATTTAAAATAATATTGCTGCCACAAAAATAACTTATTACATTTATTAGATGTTCCCAATGCTTTTTAGCCTCGAGTTGTATTTATACACCTCATAAGATGGTCTGAATTTCAGTTTATGTTATTATAAATAACTCCATAGAAATGACACAATCTTTCTCTGCCTAAATGTGCATATTAATGGAAATCCATAGCAGAAAACCCAAGCATTTTAGAAGGCAGAAAGGACACTCACTACAGATAAGAGATTGGCTGGTTCCAGCATCTAAAAAGACAGCCCCCATGTACAAACAGGTAAGGTGAGGGAGGCTGTGTCATTACAATCCCACAGCCCGCAGCACTGCCCGTGGAGTGGACCCCATGTGCGCCCCCACTCATGTCCCATTTTATGCATCATTCCACTCCTCAGTCCTGTCCTCACGTCTCAAGCAACTGGATGTCGCACGGGCAGCTCCAGGTCCTGGCCTACAAGCATCTACAGTGTGTGGCAGAGTGGGGCCCTCCACGCCTCTGTCCGTTTGTCCTTCTCCACCCTCACCTCCGACTGGGGAGGGGGGTCTTCTATCACGTATGTGAGAAGCTGCTCAAATCTCACCTAACCATTTAGGAATTCCAGTGAGAAGGAAGAAGGGAGGAAGGGAAATCTAAGGAAGAAGTTTATTTGTGGGACATGAGGAAGATGGTCCTATGTGGGAAGCCTTTGAAATACAGAATTCACCACTAAGAACAATTCTATGGGAAAAAAACCCCCAAAAAACAAAAAAATAACTCTGCCCTGTCCTTGGTTTAGAATGCCTTAAAACACAATAGAAGATGTCCAAGTCTGTTCAATACTGAGAAAGAAAAATATTAAGTGACAGATGTGGTAATGGCCAAACACTATTTTTTTAATTTAGACTCTTTCCAGTAAGTTAGCAGGAACACTAGAAAAAGTCGATGCGACTGTGGCTGACTCTAGACTCAATCAATACCATGTCATGTAGCAAAATGAAACATCTGAGCATTATGGAGCAATATATCCTGTGTTCGGTACCACTTTAATAACGGCAGTGGTGAAACGGACACTGCTAATGGAAGCTCTGCAAACCTCTGTATGAGCTGATAATGGTCAGAGCTGGGGGTCTGCAGAGGCATGTACACATGCAGGAGGCTAAAACTGGACAGCCCCAAGGGAGAAAGGGATTGGAAAAAAGTAGAATTAGTCTGTAACCCACACTCCCTTAGTGAATTGCCAGCTTATAAGATCTGGGGACCCCCACAACTAGGGCCTGCATTCCCCGATCTGGGGATGCAAGCCACCCTCCAGGCATACACAGGCAGACACGGTGGTTCAGACTGCAATGAACAGACGTGGGTCCCAGCCCACTGTGCTGCACAGCGCTGTATTTCCAGTCTTGGGGACTGGGCGTGTATCCTGGCCTCATCTCTTGCTAGCTCGGTGACCTTGGACATCTTTGGTTGCCTACCAGGCACCTCATCCATCTTTCTTCCTTATTGATAGAATGCTGACATTGTCAGGTATTTGCTGTTTCCCGTGAACCCCGGTAACTTGGAGGAAAAAAGCTGTTCTGGGGAAGTGGGTCCGGTGTTGCTCAGAGCCCCCAGTCACCGGTCCCCAGAGCCCGTGATCACCCAAACTATACCATCAGCTCTCTGGGTCTCCAGCCTGGCAACTGCAGGTCTTGGAAATTTTCAGCCTCCATTATTAAGGAGTGAGGCAATTCATTATAATAAATCATATATGTATATATCCTATTGGTGGTTCCATTTATCTGGATATCCTTGACTAACATGCATTCCATTGTCTGTGTGTACCACTCTTGCAGACATCTTTTATTTATTTTGAGTAACACAGGAGCTTTACCATATGATCTAAAACATTTAAATAATCTATGCTGGCTCTAGGAAGGCATACACATACCCCTCCTGAAGAAAGATTTCCTGCAGTTTAAATACGCTTAATGCAGAAAAATATGCGATTTAGTACATGTGAAACATATTTCTCCTTGCGGTTTTCTGTGTTTAGAGAGGCCAGTTCCACAGTGGTTAAAGTATAGGATGCGATTGCCTCTGTAACGTGTCATATCAGAAGGCCCGATGTCACAAACACTGGTTGGAAGCCACAGCAGAAACTCCTGGTGAGAGCCTCTATGGCCTCCACCTGGAAACATGTCTGGATTTTCCTTCTGTCGTCCCCACCATGAACCAGCTAGCCTCTGCCGTCTGCGCCAGCTGTCTGGAAGCCACTGTGAATCCATCCAGGAGTCTCCTGGCCCTCCCCACTGAAACCATTACTTCAGACTAGAGGCTGCTGGCTCCGAGAGGCAGTCACTTTTTATCACTTCACGCATAGGTGCTTTCCTTTGGCTTAATGGATCTGAGCATCTGAACACCAAGAAGATTGGCACCATGGAGAGAACAGCTTATAAAGAAAGCATTTTTCAAGAATATAAAACTATGGACTACGAACCCAGCAATAAAGAGGTTGTCCTATCATTTTCCATGACCCGTGAAACCCCGTAAGAAGAGAGTGTCCGGGGTGTTTGTGAAACCAGAGTTGTCAGGATGCTAACACCTGAGGCCTTCCTCTCCTCCATCGTGGGTGCTGTCGATTGACTGAGTGGTGCTGCAGCCGCCATCACTCAGTGCTGAAAACGCGCTTGGGACACCTGAAGAAAGTGCATATTCCCTGCTGGCTGATGCACACCTGGCCCTTCTGTGGGGCCCTCACAATCAGCATCTCTTCATGAGTTGTATGGCTGAGCTAGTGGGCTGTGACTGGCAGTCTACGACGCCCGCGTCCCCACCCAGCCCAGCTGGCGGCTGAACCGTTCCTTTCCCACCTCGGAGCAGGGACGAACACAACTCAATGCAGAACGCAGCACCTGCTACCTGTGCATTTCTTGGCTCTTCGTGTTTTCTTCTTTCTTGTGTGTTTTGTCAGATGAAAACTAAAGTCTGTTGCAAGGGGAAAACAGCTACATCTCAGTGTCATCCTTTTGCTGATGCCTTTGCAATGTTTACCAAAATGATTTTTCCTCCTTCTTCTCTAATTTCTTCAGATTTTCTCATGTTGTGGAGAGAACAGTGTTTGGAAATGAAGAGCTTTGCTGGCATGAGCAGTATAACACTGGGCGTTTCTCTAAGCTTCTCTGTGCGTCTCTTCCCTGAACTAGGAGAGTGGAATGATCTCCCTGTCCCTTCGAGTTCCAAAATTCAAATAACTTAGCAGTTTTACTGCCCAGACCAGGCGCGGTGGAAGGGGGAGGTGATCTGGGTGAACTGCTCCCAGCTGCCATGATGGCAGGGTCGGCCTGGAACCCAGAGTGCCTTCTTTCAGGAAGCAATTGGCTCCGGGAAGGGCCTCTGACACATTAACAGAAAGGTTAGTTAGCTACTGCTCACTGCCATGACGTTGTTCCTTTTAAAGTAAGCAGTTATTCACGTGATGTAATGCAACCCCCTTTGCGCTATGTGCAAACCATAGAGCAGAAATCAGCACAACATGGGTCCCCCTAAAGAGAAAATCATCCCGCACAGCACGACGCAAAAACACAGAATTTATTAACGGGAAACAGAGGGCGATTTTAGACCACAGAGCAAATATCCACTAGACGTCTCTATTGCTCCGAAACGCCCTGGTTGGCTGTTGGGGCAACTTCAGGTGTGCTCTCCTTTTAACCCTTTTTTCACCACAAAGTTATTATTTTTCCTCCTTTGCTTTTTGTTGTTATGCAGGAAACCTGAGCCCCAACTTGAGCTAGCTATGATCCATAGGCTTAACAAATTCTCTTTTAAATAAAATGGACTGACCCACAAGGAATTCTCCTAGCTCCCAAGAAGACATTTCCCCCCTGAGTATTACATATAAGTCTTCAACTTCTCTGATCAAGCCCAAATCCTTTCTAAGTAATAAAGAGTGTGAGAGGAAGACTGTGGTTAATAAGAGTTCCCAGGCGGGGGCTGGCCGAGTGGCTCAGTTGGTTAAGAGCTCGCTCAAGAGTTTGAGCTCTGAGCAACAGCGGTTCGAGTCCAGCCCGAGCTGAGCAGCCACTGAGCTGCCATCAGGTAGCAGGATGGCTCAGCTAAAAAAAAACCAAACAAACAAACAAAAAAAAAGAGTTCCCAGGTGGGCTGCTGAGGACAGGACCTCATGCACAGTGTAGCCGCACACAGTGTTTTTATTCTCTTTCAGATTAAATACAACGCCGTTGCACAGGCTTACAAATGAAGCTTTCTACCTCCCCACCACCCTAACAGGCTTTAGTCGTTTTCATCTAATTTTGAACAAAAAATTATCTTATCTTAAAGATTCCTTAATACAAAAGAGGGCTGAGCACTTTTGTTATCAAGCAGTTGACAATCCATTATTTTATATCTTCTTTAACATCATAATAATTCTTTCACAAATGTATTATAATGCTAGTGCACTGGAGTACTATTTGGTACTCATGCTTTTTTCTAATAAGGTTTGCAGGTTTACTCTGCTAAGGAAATAATGTGACATTTGCATTCAACTTCAACACAAGCAGAATATTAATTTAAAGGACAATTGTTTGCCCATCACTCCATGGTAAACTATTGATAAACATGTTCGTAAAACGTTCATGCATAATGGCAGTGTGTTTCTGAAGCTATTCTGCACACTGTTATATTTTTAAATACCATGAAATTAAATTGTGAAATAAGCCTCGAAAAGATGTCAAAATTATACTCTCCAGTTAGTGAGATACATAAGGGATAAAATAATCTTATGTTTCTTCAGTGAACTATTAAATAAAAAAGTCTCTAATATTTTTCTAAAGTAAGGGCACAATTGTTCAAACTTATCACTGAAGATA